CTAAGCATGGACAACAGAAAGAGGAGACGAGAACTGTCTGAGGACCTGAGAACCAAAATTGTGGCAAAATATCAACAATCTCAAGGTTACAAGTCCATCTCCAGAGAACTAGATTTGCCTTTGTCCACAGTGCGCAACATTATCAAGAAGTTTGCAACCCATGGCACTGTAGCTAATCTCCCTGGTCGTGGACGGATGAGGAAAATTGATGAAAGATTGCAACGCAGAATAGTCCGGATGGTGGATAAGCAGCCCCAAACATGTTCCAAAGACATTCAAGCTGTCCTGCAGGCTCAGGGAGCATCAGTGTCAGCGCGAACTATCCGTCGACATTTAAATGAAATGAAACGCTATGGCAGGAGACCCAGGAGGACCCCACTGCTGACACAGAGACATAAAAAAGCAAGACTACAGTTTGCCAAAATGTACTTGAGTAAGCCAAAAGCCTTCTGGGAAAACGTCTTGTGGACAGATGAGACCAAGATAGAGCTTTTCGGTAAAGCACATCATTCTACTGTTTACCGAAAACGGAATGAGGCCTACAAAGAACAAAACACAGTACCTACGGTAAAATATGGTGGAGGTTCAATGATGTTTTGGGTTGTTTTGCTGCCTCTGGCACTGGGTGCCTTGACTGTGTGCAAGGCATCATGAAATCTGAGGATTACCAAAGGATTTTGGGTCGCACTGTAGGGCCCAGTGTCAGAAAGCTGGGTTTGCGTCCAAGATCCTGGGTCTTCCAGCAGGACAATGACCCCAAACATACGTCAAAAAGCACTCAGAAATGGATGGCAAAGAAGCGCTGGAGAGTTCTGAAGTGGCCAGCAATGAGCCCAGATCTAAATCCCATTGAACACCTGTGGAGAGATCTTAAAATTTGCTGTTGGGAAAAGGTTGTCCTTCCAATAAGAGAGACCTGGAGCTGTTTGCAAAGGAAGAGTGGTCCAAAATTCCGGGAGAGGTGTCAGAAGCTTATTGATGGTTATAGGAAGCGACTGATTTCAGTTATGTTTTCCAAAGGGTGTGCAACCAAATATTAAGTTAAGGGTGCCAATACTTTTGTCCAGCCCATTTTTGGGGTTTTGTGTGACATTATGTCATATTTGCTTTTCTGCCTCTGTTTTATATTTGTTCCAATACATACAAAGGGAATAAACATGTGTATAGCAAAACATGTGTTAATGCAATAACCTTTTTTGTGTGAAATACTTGATTTTCAGGAAAAATATCAAGGGTGCCAACAATTTCGGCCATGACTGTATATATATATATACATATACATATACACACACTAACACACACTTCATTTTTTTTTCTCCTGTAATTTAATCTTGTGACATGCCCAGTTTAGGAACTCTACCCCAACCACAATGGCTTGTACATTTCTATTTGTGAACATTCTATGAACCAATATTTAATCTACTACTGCAATGTGATCAGATGAGGTGGCTATAAACTATTTAAGTATTTCAAAAATCCACAGCTGCTACACAGCACAGAATCCTATAAAACAATTTAGCTTTAGGACACAAATGTATTTTCTTCATATAAAGCTGTAACTGTGTCACATACTGGTTGATTTACTAAAACTGGAGAGTTCACAATCTGGTGCAGCTCCGCAGAAGTTAGAAGCTGATTGGCTACCATGCACAGCTGCACCAAATTTTGCACTCTCGTTTTAGTAAACCAGCCCCACTGTGTTTCTTTCCTGGAAAACACAAAACTTCATGATGATGGGAATTATTTCTGTAAATTATCCATTTTTGCTGTCCTTTGAAGATCAGAAAAAGCTTCTGTTGTACTTTTATTTATACATACATGCACATATTTATACACCAATAAACAGTACTTTCACAAATGGTACAGTTAAAACAGTCCCTGCTCCCAAGGAGCTCACAATCTAAGGTCCCTATCAAACATGCATACATACATATACAGTGCTTTGAAAAAGTATTCACACCCCTTGAACTTTTCCACATTTTGTCATGTTACAACCAAAAACGTAAATGTATTTTATTGGGATTTTTTGTGATAGACCAACACAAATGTTGCACGTAACTGTGAAGTGGAAGGAAAATGATAAATGGTTTTCAAAATGTTTTAGAAATAAATATCTGAAAAGTGTGGCGTGCATTTAGATTCAGCCCCTTTTACTCTGATACCCCTAACTAAAATCTAGTGGAACCAATTGCCTTCAGAAGTCACCTAATTAGTAAATAGAGTCCACTTGTGTGCAATTTAATCTCAGTATTAATACAGCTGTTCTGTGAAGCCCTCAGAGGTTTGTTAGAGAACATTAGAGAACAAAAAGCATCATGAAGTCCAAGAAACACACCAGACAGGTCAGGGATAAAGTTGTGGAGAAGTTTAAAGCAGAGTTAGGTTATAAAAAAATATCCCAAGCTTTGAAAATCTCACAGAGCACTGTCCAATCCATCAACCGAAAATGGAAAGAGTATAACACAACTGTAAACCTACCAAGACATGGCCGTCCACCTAAACTGACAGGCCGGGCAAGGAGAGCATTAATAAGAGAAGCAGCCAAGAGGCCCATGGTAACTTTGGAAGAGCTGCAGAGATCCACAGATCAGGGAGGAGAATCTGTCCATAGGACAACTATTAGTCATGCATTCCACAAATCTGGCCTTTATGGAAGAGTGGCAAGAAGAAAGCCATTGTTGAAAGAAAGCCATAAGAGGTCCCGTTTGCAGTTTGCATAAGCCATGTGGGGGACACAGCAAACTTGTGGAAGAAGGTGCTCTGGTCAGATGAGACCCAACTTGAACGTTTTGGCCTAAAAGCAAAGCTATGTGTGGCAGAAAACTAACACTGCACATTACTCTGAACACACTATCCCCACCGTGAAACATGGTGGTGGCAGCATTGTGTTGTGGGGATCCTTTTCTTCAGTAGGGCAGGGAAGCTGGTCAGAGTTGATGGGAAGATGGATGGAGCCAAATACAGGGCAATCTTAGAAGAAAACCTGTTAGAGTCTGCAAAGACATGAGACTGGAGTGGAGGTTCACTTACCAGCAGGACAACGGCACCTAACATACAGCCAGAGTTACAATGGAATGGTTTAGGTCAAAACATTTTCATGTGTTAGAATGGCCCAGTCAAAGTCCAGACCTAAATCCAACTGAGAATCTGTGGCAAAACTTGAAAACTGCTATTCACAGAATATCTCCATCCAATCTGACAGAGCTTGAGCTATTTTGCAAAGAAAAATGGGCAAAAATGTCCCTCTCTAGATGTGCAAAGCTGGTAGAAACATCCCCAAAAAGACTGGCAGCTGGAATTGCAGCGAAAGGGGGTCCTACAAAGTATTGACTCCAGGGGGCTGAATACAAATGCACGCCACACTTTTCAGATATGTATTTGTAAAAACTTTTGAAAACCATTTATCATTTTCCTTCCACTTCACAATTATGTGTCACTTTGTGTTGTTCTATCACATGAAATCCCATTAAAATATATTTACGTTTTTGGTTGTAACATGACAAAATGTGGAAAATTTCAAGGGGTAGGAATACTTTTGCAAGGCACTGTACTAGGGACAATTTAGACAGGAGCCAATATTTCTACCATTTTGTGTTTGGGGTGTTGGAGGAAAAACGGAGTACCCAGAGGTAACTCACCCAAGCACAAAGGTAACATGCATACTTCATTCAAGTAGTGTCTTGTTTGGGGATTAAACCAAGGACCCCGGTATTTCAAGGCAGCGGTGAAAGCCACTGTCCTGAATTACACAAGCTTTAAAGTATTTTTAGTCCCTTGCATATACCCAATGAAGTGACTAGTCTCAAGTGATACATAGAGATGAAACAAATCCTCCTACATAAGTTGTACCTGTTCATCTGTAATTATGCTTCTCTACATCCATTTACGGTGCAGAATTTATAAAGCTTGTCTAAGCTTCAAGAAAACAGGGAGTGGAGAGCTGAAATTAAGCACTGAAGAACTTGGTAAGGAGAGCTCTGAGAGCTAATTGGTGCGAAGGGCCATACCCCTCTTCACACAGCACACAGGAACAGAGCTGATGCTGTCAATCACAGACTGTGTGCTGGAGGTCCCCCCCAGTCCCTATTTTTCTCTTGTTGTCTGCAAAAAAAATATACGCTGTCTCTGTGTTAATAACACTCACTGGGAAGGGGTTAAACATCTAGGGCAATCAAAGGATTAACTGTGTGCCTAACCAGTGTTTTTGTGTACAGTGTGGTGATTTTACTAGTGTGTTGGATTTTCTTTCCCTGCTTTGCAGAAAAAGAAAATCCAGCAGATCGCCGCTGACAGAACACAGCTCTGCCCTGTATACAGCTGTGTCATGTCACTGTCTTCATTGATCAACGGGTGCTGGCACTCATCTATTGGCTGGCACCCATTGATTGACTTCTGCTGTGATTTATCAGTACATCTACTATAGGGTGGTCAGGAAGTGGTTAATATAAGACTTTACATTTTGACCATAGATGCACTTTAACCACTTGGCTACCGGGCACATTTACCCCCTTCCTGCCCAGGCCTATTTTCAGTTTTCAGCGCTATCACACTTTGAATGACAATTGCACGGTCATGCAACACTGTACCCAAACAAAATTTGTATCATTATTTTTAGACAGATAGAGCTTTCTTTTGGTGGTATTTAATCACCTCTGGGGTTTTTATTCTTTGCTAAACAAACTAAAAAATCCTGAAAATTTTGAAAAAAAAAGTTTTCTTAGTGTATGTTATAAAACTTTGTAAATAAGTAATTTTTGTCCTTCACTGATGTGTGCTAATGAGGCTGCAGTGATGGGCACTGATAGGCGGCACTGATAGGCAGCACTGATGAGAAGGCACTGATGGGCATTGACAGGCATCACTGATGGGCACTGAAAGGCAGCACTCATATATGGAACTGATAGGTGGCACTGATGGTCACTGATAGGCAGCAACTGATAGGCATTGATAGGTGGCACTGACTGGAACTGTTAGGCGGCACTGATTGGAACTGTTAAGTGGCACTGACTGACACTGATAGTCGGCACTAACTGGCATTGATAGGTGGCACTGATTGGTGGCACTGACTAGCGGCACTGATAGGCGACACTGACTGGCACTAAAAGGTGGCACTTAAAGGCAGCTCTGATGGGTGCCGATATGTGGCATTGATATGCACTGGTAGGCAATGATATGTGGCATTGATGTGCACTGATGGGCACTGGTATGTAGCATTGATAGGCACTTACAGGTGGCATTGATGGGGCTACACTGATCATCAGGGCACTGATGTCCCCTCTGAGGAATGCCGATTACCAGCTCTCCTCTCCTCATGAGCTGTCAGCAGGAGGATAGGACAGCTGATAACTGGCATTTCCTATTTACATGTGTTCAGCTGTGATTGGACACAGCTGATCACATGACAGAGCCAACATCGCCGGCTCTTTACAGTCATCGATGAACCACTGTGTCCCAGGGACACAGCGCACCACCGATCGCTGTGCCGCGCATGCACAGTTAGAGTGGGAGGATATCATATGACTTCCTCCCAGAATGAGAGAAACCGCCTCCCTCCCGTCATTACCTTATATGGCGGGCAGGAGGTGGTTAAAGCATTGGAACCTCAGGACCCACATTTGTCCTTGGTCATTAGGTCGTGACCCAATAATAATTTAATTTCCGAAACATTATAATTTATTCCACAAAACAACTTGTGCAGTATTCTACAATGTACATAGTTTAACAAAATAAAACACTTTTTTAGATTTTAGATTTTTAAAATAAATAAATATTTTAATTATACATAAATAACAAAAATCCACCAATTGCCCACTAACCTTAAGCAATGTCCTCGCTACCTCACACTAATAGCCCATTAAGCTGAGCAATGCCTCCTCTACCTCACTCTCTCTAAGTTAAGAATATTAGTCCTCATGCACACTGGACGTTTTTACAGCTGCTGTTTTTGGCTTTTGGAGTTTCTTTTCTACAGCCAGTTAACTCCCCACATAGGCTTTAATCAGCGCTTTTTTTGTAATAACTACCTTGACCCCCTTTTCATACCCTTCCATGGTTTCCTTCAGTCCTCCCCTTCCATGCCCACTTTCATTCCCCATCCTCCCCCCATCACCATCACTTTCCTGTTTTTTCTTTCACTCATTTCAAAATGCGCTCTCTATCACCCATCCACAACCCAGGAAAAGTACCTATCAGAGTCGTTCCCTGGCGCCCAGTGGAGCTTATCTTCCCTCCTGTGTGGCTGGCTGGAAGTAAAGTTATTTGTCACTTCCTGCCATTGCTGCCATGGAGGAAAGAGGAATGAGCACGAAGGCCATGGGACCATTTGTAAGTTCACCATGAGCACCTTAACCTCCCTAGCGGTATGATTATTTCAGATTTTTGGTGCTGAAAGCTGTACCATTATTTTGCATGGAAATATGTATTTTTTTTAATGTAGGCTGTAATTTTTAGGAATAACTCACTGAAATCTGTCCGAACAAGAGTCTAGTAAACATTGCGGGTATGATAAAATTTGAAACACGAAATCATAAATTATAATTTAATAAATATTCATAAAAAATAATAATATAATAATACATTTAATTCAATAATATAATCAAACAAAAAACACTGAAATTTGAAATAGAGCGCCAAGTTCGCACATTGCTGAGCAAAGTCGCAAAATCGTTTTCAGTGTCTGATGACGAATTTCCCCACGAATCATTATCACTCAATTCTGCAAGTGGTTCTGATTTACTATCGCTGTTCTCTAGCTGGTCTAACTAAGCAATATGATAGTGTGACAAGGACACACCTATCTGAAAAGAGGGTTTCTAGATGATCCACGCGGAGTAATATGAATTCAAAGGAATTTTAACAATACTTTATTTGATCACATAGATCATTTTAAAAATGAGCACGGTGTACATATGAAAAAAATTAAAATCATGTTAAAAACACTTAGCGTCTTCAGTTTAGGGTCATCTTAGCCAACAGAGCACCATATAAGGCAGAGTTGTGTAATGATGAAATAGTTATCCTGGGTTTCCGTAGGTTTCCCGCTTTATATTTGAGTAAACCATGTATTCAGTCGGTGTGTTCCAGTATATGTCAGGGACCTCCTGGAATGTACAAGCTGGAACACAAAAATACATAGTATATGTATAGAAATATGGAACACATCCAAAATTTACCAGCCACAATAGTCAATGGATACTACTGTTACCTTCTCAATAGTGAGACTATCATACCCGCTTCTCAAGTGTAGGGACTTCCTGGATAGCCACCCCAAATGAAACAAGGTCCACAGTACCAAATGATTCTGAGGATATGTATAGAAAAAAAATAATGAATGTATAGATCATGGGCATCAGGTGACCCCGAAAACAAAACACACATAAAATGTGGATATATTAAATTCAGGTATCTACGGCCTGCTATATGATACATACACATTATTTGTGTTTGAAATCCACGCATCGTGTATACCTTTTCCTCACCTCCATATGCATCTTTGAAAAAGCATCAAGGACCTGATCTTATTTCAAGTCGACAGGAGTCTTCTTGATCCTCATTGATGGTAATATATCCACATTTTATGTGTGTTTTGTTTTCGGGGTCACCTGATGCCCATGATCTATACATTCATTATTTTTTAATACATATCCTCAGATTCATTTGGTACTGTGGACCTTGTTTCATTTGGGGTGGCTATCCAGGAAGTCCCTACACTTGAGAAGCGGGTTGATAGTCTCACTATTGAGAAGGTAACAGTAGTATCCATTGACTATTGTGGAGGGAGGCCTGGTAAATTTTGGATGTGATTTGATTTCCATATTTCTATACATATACTATGTATTTTTGTGTTCCAGCTTGTACATTCCAGGAGGTCCCTGACATATACTGGGAACACAAGACTGAATACATGGTTCACTCAAATATAAAGCGGGAAAATGGAAAACCCAGGATAACTATTTCATCATTACACAACTCTGCCTTAATATGGTGCTCTGTTGGCTAAGATGACCTAAACTGAAGACGCTAAGTGTTTTTAACAATGATTTTATTTTTTTCATATGTACACCGTGCTCATGTTTAACCTCCCTATGATCTATGTGATCAAATAAATGTATTGTTTAAATTCCTTTGAATTCATATTACTCCGCGTGGATCATCTAGAAACCTTCTTTTTCAGATAGGTGTGTCCTTGTCACACTTTCATATTGCTTAATGCTTTCTTTGCCACACTTATACAAGTGTTCGGAGAGATATGCTAATGACATCAGTAATTCGTGTCATTTTCGGTGGCTTGCTTTTGCTTTATTGTTGTGATCTAGCTGGTCTAAACCCGCTTTTGACCTAAAGCAACACTTTTTGGACGCCATGGACTTTTCTCAGTTTCCAGGCAGAAAGAACAGACAAAATGCAGGCAGGGCACAGGACAAAGCACTCGGGACAAAATGTATGTGAAATGGGTTGAAACAGCAATGTTTTGCTATGTAAAATTTCTTTTTAAAAAAATTTAATTGTTTAAAATTTTCAAATTTCCCACCGCCGCTGGCGGTGCCCATACGTCCCGACGTCACAGGGACCGGAACACAGAAGCCGGATGCCGGCATCGGCCGGGGGAGATGGCTGGGGACACTGCAGGGGACACATCGCGGGAGCACAGGACAAGGTAAGCGCTGCAGGGACTCCCTATGCAGCGCCGCATGGTAAGCCCGAGTGTAGCTCGGGGTTACCGCTTTTGGCACTGACATTTTACCCCGAGCTACACTCGGGAATACCGCTAGGGAGGTTAATGTGACCGGCCGGGTGCAATAATACAAATATTAAGGCCAGATATAGTTGTGGTCCAGGCCATCTTAACATTTATATTAGTGTGGATGGTGGTTTTTATTAGTCTATGTAATCAGGGCACCGGACGTTTTATTGGGGCATTAGAGAGGCCTGAGGGGCACCTGCCCCGCGGCCCAGTCCTCCCCTGGTCACAACCCACTTTTGGGTCACGACTTATTACTTGAGAAACTTTAACTTGGCTTTAAAGGTTTACAGTCACATTTACAGAAAAAAATAACTATATGGCTTCTCATATTAATCTGAAATGAATAAAGGAAATTGTCTCGGCTCTTTATGCACTTCCATTGTTATTTATTGAAAACCGAAGAAAATATCTATTTCAACTCACAGGAAAATAAAACTGCGGCACAACACTGCTGGAATCCAGGATCCTGTGTAAGAATAAGCTGGATCCTGAGGGTCTGTTTTATTAGGAGCCTGTTCATACGTTCCCCATTTATCTCCAGCAATCCTGCAGGGGAAACTTATGTACATTCACTAAACGTTCCTGCTATTCCCAGCGGGGGACTACACAATGTCAATTTACTAAAGTCACGCACACTTCCCTATGAGCATATTGGCCTACTTCCAAATAAAGAACTTGCAGTTCACTTTATAATGTTTAGGAAATGTGATCTTTTCTTGAAATAATGAATATTTTTTTATGGTTATAAATGTCATTACAAGTTAGAAAACAATCTGCTTATCCTGTCCTTTATTCATTTTGCTTTTTGTGAGTTTGTATTTTCCTCTCATATCTCTCCACATTATGTACAACAGCCTTTCTCAACCTTCTCATCCAGGAGGAACCCCTAAAACAACCCTCAGGTCTCGGGGAATCCATATTGAAATCAATTTACCTTCACATAAGGCTATCCCATCTACAGTCCATTATGAATGCTGATGCCAGACTCATCCAGCTGTTGTGTCTGCTATCCCTCACTGCACTGGCTTCCACTCACCCAAAGAATTTAATTAAAAATACTAACAGCAGCTTAAAAAGCCATTCACAACTTGGCCCCCAGCTACATCACCAATCTGGTCTCAAAATACCATCCAAATCTCTTCACTCCTCCGAAGACCTCCTGCACTTTAGTTCCCTCATCACCTCCTCCCATGCTCGCCTCCAGGACTTCTCCCAAGCCTCTCCGATCCTATGGAATTCCCTACTCCATTCTGTCCAGCTATTTCCTACCTGCCCACTTTTAGACGGTCCCCAAAAACCCTTCTCTTCAGAGAAGCCTATCCTGCCCCTATCTAATAAGTGTACCTTTTTTTCTCCATCAGCTCATCCCCCACAGTTATTACCTTTTGTATCACTTGACCCTACCTTTAGATTGTAAGCTCTAAAAAGCAGGGCCCTCTGATTCCTCCTGTATTGAATTGTATTGTAACTGTACTGTCTGCCCTCTTGTTGTAAAGTGTTGGCGCTATATAAATCCTGTGTACAAATAAAACTTCAGCGCAACAATAACTCCTCAAATTCCTGTGTATACCAGTGCTGCTGACACTTACATGCGTTTCCACACACAAAAGATATGTCATAAAATAATGCCACGCATATATATGCATCTATAGCCTCATATATGACTTAAAGCATCCAAACCATGTGATTAGACAACAACGGTGAATACATTGAATACAACTTAAAAGTCCAAAGGTGTGCTTGATCCGGATGTTTATAATTTGT